CCCGGACCAATTTGCACCAATATTGATAATTTTTTGTAAACAGGTTTTCTTCATCCAAAATAAAACATTACAGCTCTTCGGCTAAAGCACTCCCTAAAATACCGAACTCCTTTATTGTGGGCACCTCAAAGATTTAACCAATATTGACAATTTCAGTACGATTCATTCTACCAAATATACAACCAAACGTGCCCATATCCCCCACAGTATCGAAAAAGGTGAGAAAAATTTAAAAATCGCGAAAAATTTGCAAAAAAGAAAAAATATTATGAAAAACAATATTAGAAAAAAAAATATTCATTTGTCAAATATTGAAAATTTTCAAAATATTTTATTTTATTCAATTGGCATTGTAACGAAACTTTTTTTCTGAGAATGCAAAACAATAATTGAGATGAATTCGCGATCATTGTATGTACACGTTTTCCATAAAATTCACTTACATTTTGGAACAAATGCAAGGATGAAAATCTGAAGATTCAGAAAGAGTTCTGATTCTAAGACATGTGCCCTAGATTATTCTTCTTGAAAATAATAATAATAGGAACATAAGAACATGTTGTTATTGAAGTACCTAAAATGTACCATTATATGGTGGTTATATGCCTAATCGTTGGTCAATGTCTTTAATCGCATACGTGTATCACAGAGAAAGGTAAGTTCATATTGAAAGAGAACAACTATAAAAAGCATTTCTTATAACAAAGAGTATCATGATGTTACCTCAATATGTCAACTACCGATATATTTAATACCATGAAAAATCGTTGTTAAGATCGAACTTTTGTACTTCCTAATATGTAGATTCCTTAAATCGGCCGGGACATTTATATGGGGACTATGTTACACAGTATGTGTAGTAGATTGGAAAACGGGGGGTAAGAACTTCAACATACTGAAAATTAAACGGGAAATATGTATGGCGCCTTTTTATTGCATTAAGCCAAATCCATGATCCATCCATTCCGTCAAATTCTTTACAAAACCGAAAATGGTGCGGGAACCGTATGTAGGAGCTATACAAAAGTTGGTCCTGAATAGAAATGTTTCCGCAAATGTGTTTTACCCTTTCAATATCACGGAATGATATATGATATGAATGATATACGATACTACAATGGGTATGGATATATACTAATACCACATGAGAAAATACCGAACAATAAGAGTATATCATTATATGCATATCATTATATGGGGCTACCCGGACCAATTTGCACCAATATTGATAATTTTTTGTAAACAGGTTTTCTTCATCCAAAATAAAACATTACAGCTCTTCGGCTAAAGCACTCCCTAAAATACCGAACTCCTTAAAGTACCGACTATTGTGGGCACCTCAAAGATTTAACCAATATTGACAATTTCAGTACGATTCATTCTACCAAATATACAACCAAACGTGCCCATATCCCCCACAGTATCGAAAAAGGTGAGAAAAATTTAAAAATCGCGAAAAATTTGCAAAAAAGAAAAAATATTATGAAAAACAATATTAGAAAAAAAAATATTCATTTGTCAAATATTGAAAATTTTCAAAATATTTTATTTTATTCAATTGGCATTGTAACGAAACTTTTTTTCTGAGAATGCAAAACAATAATTGAGATGAATTCGCGATCATTGTATGTACACGTTTTCCATAAAATTCACTTACATTTTGGAACAAATGCAAGGATGAAAATCTGAAGATTCAGAAAGAGTTCTGATTCTAAGACATGTGCCCTAGATTATTCTTCTTGAAAATAATAATAATAGGAACATAAGAACATGTTGTTATTGAAGTACCTAAAATGTACCATTATATGGTGGTTATATGCCTAATCGTTGGTCAATGTCTTTAATCGCATACGTGTATCACAGAGAAAGGTAAGTTCATATTGAAAGAGAACAACTATAAAAAGCATTTCTTATAACAAAGAGTATCATGATGTTACCTCAATATGTCAACTACCGATATATTTAATACCATGAAAAATCGTTGTTAAGATCGAACTTTTGTACTTCCTAATATGTAGATTCCTTAAATCGGCCGGGACATTTATATGGGGACTATGTTACACAGTATGTGTAGTAGATTGGAAAACGGGGGGTAAGAACTTCAACATACTGAAAATTAAACGGGAAATATGTATGGCGCCTTTTTATTGCATTAAGCCAAATCCATGATCCATCCATTCCGTCAAATTCTTTACAAAACCGAAAATGGTGCGGGAACCGTATGTAGGAGCTATACAAAAGTTGGTCCTGAATAGAAATGTTTCCGCAAATGTGTTTTACCCTTTCAATATCACGGAATGATATATGATATGAATGATATACGATACTACAATGGGTATGGATATATACTAATACCACATGAGAAAATACCGAACAATAAGAGTATATCATTATATGCATATCATTATATGGGGCTACCCGGACCAATTTGCACCAATATTGATAATTTTTTGTAAACAGGTTTTCTTCATCCAAAATAAAACATTACAGCTCTTCGGCTAAAGCACTCCCTAAAATACCGAACTCCTTAAAGTACCGACTATTGTGGGCACCTCAAAGATTTAACCAATATTGACAATTTCAGTACGATTCATTCTACCAAATATACAACCAAACGTGCCCATATCCCCCACAGTATCGAAAAAGGTGGATTACTATTACATGGGGGATATTTGAAAGCTTGGGCGAACATAACATTGCAGCCAAACACCGAATATTAAGGGATGCCGTTAGATGGGGATATCCGAATACTTGAGTCAATATGGAAAATTCTAATTACGGAGAATTTCTGCCCAATAAGTATCCCTAATATTAGATTTGGGAAAAAGAAATCCATTATACCGGTGGAACGATCGAATTTTACAGGCATGTTGTAACATCATCCAGGAGCTAAAAATTAAACCATTCACACAAAGCTGGATTCAAAAAGAAGCTCAATGGTTGGGTGCCTCACCAATTAACAGAAAAAATGAAATGGATCGAATTTCCATCTGCGAAGTCTTGACCAAACGAATGAGATACTCTTATTTTTAAAAACGGATGGTAACTGGAAATGAGAAATGGATCACATACGATAACCCAATGCAAAAACGATCGTGGTCAAAGAGCGGTGAAGCACCTCAAACGGTGACCAAACCAGGACTAACGACCAGGAAGGTTCTGCTATGCATTTGGTGGGACTGGAATGGGATTATTTATTATGAGTTGCTTTCATATGGCCAAACGCTAAATTCTGATCTCTACTGCCAACAACTGTACCGTTTGAAGATAGCAATTGGCCAGAATTAGCCAACAGGGGAGGTGTCGTGTTTCACCAGTAGGCCTATTCTGTAGCTTTTAACAACATTCGATATTGTTTAAATTTCTTTTGTTATTGTAAAAACAATAAAACTAACAAATGAAATTGTTGTAAAATAGACAATATCGAATGTTGTTAAAAAGTTACAGAATACAGGGGCAGGACAACGCTAGGCCATCTTATGAGTAGTACAAATGTATGTGCAAATATAAAATGTATATCTTAAATCGTGGAGGGAACAACAAAACTCACTCATAAACATCAAATTCAGTTTTGTAATGTTACCCTATGTGTGCTATGATAATTACCAAGATGTTAAAAAAATATATACACTTCACCTTATGATGGAGGGTATAAAACCAACCTAAAATGCCGAAAATTATACATCAAAAATATTGTTAGGCAAGACAACGTTTGCCGGGCCCTCTAGTCGGTTTATAAAAATGTCAGTATAGGTCAACTTATTGTTATGTTCCCTATATTTTCATTTCAAGTATCTATGGTGGAGGGTATCCAAAGTTCTGCCCGGCCGAACTTAACGCTTTTTCACTTGTTTCACTTGTTATATTATTATTTACTTTTATTAATACATGTTTGTATCTGAAACTAAAACGTTCGTTTTTTATTTCTTTCCTCTTTTCGAAACACAATTTCGACGCCGCTGTAGGTGTCATATAGCCGACCCTGTCCGACTTGTGTCCTTTCCTTACAGGTTGTACTTATTTTTGTTATGTACATTTCGCTGTTATGATCATTTAATTTGGTGCTGAAGTTGTCATTAAGATTATTTTTATATAAAATTAGCTTTTGAAAAATATTTATTTTTACCTTCTATTTAAATGTAGGGTATATCCTAAACAACGTATGCCTATCTTGTTAGTATACAGGTATTTTTTGGTGTTGTTGTTGATATTTGTTTAATATCTGTATTTAAACATTTAAAACAAACAAACGATAAGATCATTGCTATCGATAGTACATGTACGTACATACGAATGTATGTATGTACGTACTTAGTGGCGATCCCCAAAGCGAAACAGCCGAACAGTATACCGTGAAACGTATAGAACGTAAAGTGAAATGTTAACAACAAAGAAGGCAATGCGAGACTGGAATTAAACGGTGTTACTTTACTAGGCTTCAAAATCGACATCTTTGAAAATATTGAATCAGTACTAGAAGAGAACTGTGCGACAGCGTGTAACATTAGCAAAAGCCCCCATTGGCGGGAGGATTTCGAAATACGTTAAGTTATTAGTGCATACGAACGTGCGTGTGTGTGCGTTAGTTTGTGTGATATTATTTTGTTACATATAAATATAAATTGTTATAGTTTTTAAATAAATAAAAATAGCTAATTAATATAAAATAACAAACGAAAATAGTCACACCGGACAGCAACTAGTCGCGTCAATTACAACGTCAATCTGTAAAGTGTATCAATAGTAACACAGCAAACCACAACATTTCAAAAACTGTTCACTTTTGAAAAAATTAATGTTCAATTCTCAACGTGCATCAACAGTGAAATATGAAAAAATGCCTAACGTAACCTTCAGGTAAAGTAAAATAAAAACAGCAAAAAACCGACCAACCCGAACAAACGTCTTCACCTACATACAAACATGCGTACATACGATACATACATGTGGACATGTGAATTATTAGCACCAATTTGTTCTGTTTAAGTGGAAATTAAATAAAAAGATATCTCCCCGCAATTCAAAAAAATTAAAAATAAAATGCAAACGAATTGATTATTATTTGTTGTTGTTGTTTTTCAAGATGTAAATTAAATATAGAAGTGTTACTAATTATAGTAATTGATAGTTGAAACACTTTTTAAACATAGAAATAATATATGTTTAAAAATTAATAACAATTGTTATATTAATTAATGAAATTAAATATGGAAAATTAAAACATTAGAATTGTGTAAAAATGGAAAATCCCAACACTTCAAAAGCTGAACAATAAGTGGTAGCATCAGAGATTTATGCAGCTTAGTTTTATGTGGCTAAAATTTCAAAATATCGAAAATGCGTCAGTATAGGAAATATTCCAATACGAGGACCTATATTACAAATTATCTACAATGAAGCTGAGTACCAACCAACAACTCCACCATGTGATCTGCATTCTAAATTAGTTATATCTATTGGACTGACTATGTCGATGTCCGCGTATAGATTGTAAAGCTCGTGGTTCTTTCAACGCCGATATTACCCAGAAGCTTGCATAATTACCCATGCTTCCGATCCATATAACAGCACGGGTAGTATCAGCGGCGTGTAGAGTGTGAGTTTGGTCTGGCGGAACACTACCCTTCTCCGAATTTCAAAACTGATGTCATTAGTTTTATTTATGACGGTACCTATGTAGTTTCCAAGTTCCACAGTTGGTTCGAGTCTACTGGACATCTTCCGCGTTGATACCATCAGCTTGGTCTTCGCGCCATTTACTGGCAGATCCACTTTGGCAGACTCCTTCTCAATCTGTTCAAAGGTGGTTGTTACCGCGTTGAAGAGTAACATGTGTTGTTTGGTGTACACAGTGTAAATACTGTTCAGCTTTGCGTCTCGTATGACCTTTTCCAGCAAGATGTTGAAAATAATCACACGACAAACCGTCACCTTGTCTAAATCCTCGTTCGGTGTTGAAGGGCTCCTAGAGGTCCTTTCCAACTTTCACTGCTGACATTGTGCCACTCAAAGTTATCCTGAACGCAGACATGGCTTTAAACACCTGTGAACGGATAGGGTTGTCGAATGCTGCATTATAGGTGGTATGTGTCTATGTGTTTTTCGTGGGTCTTTTCTAGAATTTGGCGCAAAGAGAAAATCTGATCAATAGTAGATTTGCAAGGTCTGAAAGCGCATTGGTATGGTCCAATAATGGCTTCATTCGTTCACACAGCATGCTGGATATCACTTTATATGCGATGGGAAGGAGAAGTATTACTCTATAGTTGACACATATCTTCTTGTCTCCTTTTTTGTGCATGGGACACAGGATGCTGAGGTTCCAATCATTGGGCATGTATTCCTCTAGACAAATTGTACTAACCAGCTGGTGCATGCTCCTAACCAGCATCTAACCACCGGTCTTGAATCCATCGGCACCTGCGGCTTTATGCTCTTATTGTTCCGGGGTATCTTCTTCGCGGCCATCAGTGTAAATAGTTTGTCAAAATTACACTTCGATGCAGAAATTCGGCTAAAATCTTTAAAATAACGTAGGGGGGGCAGGACCTTTGCTAATTTTTTCCAATTATAACCTGGAGCTAAATCGAACAATTTCACCTAATATGTTTACTTGATTATTACAGATATTTCCTCCGGAAAATGCATCAAAGACCATCACAATACCTAAATTAGGGCGGGAACTTTATATGGAAGGAATTTCAAAACATGAACCTATATTTTCTTCGAGGAAGATTTCCACCCTCCAAGTAATGCCAAATTACATAATTTTTTGTGGCTAACAGCGGCTACTCACCAAGAAGTCCGATTAAAGGCACTTCATTGGTTAAATGGCTACAAATCTTTTAAAATACCGGCGCCTTTACCTATATCCAAAACATTACCATATCCAAACAAAATCTGTACAGATGTTCCCCTACCAATTCCATGAAAATTACAGACATTTCAGTGGAAAAATGTATCTAAATACTTTAAAATACCGGTAATGACGCGGGACCTTTAAAATGATCTACATGCTCTTCAGAATATCAAAACGGCTGGGATTTTTAAATAGGAAACAAAGAAATACGCAAGGGAAGCGTGAACCTCCTCCAAAATGATTTTTGTCTGTCTGGCGGAGACTATTCCTAAACGTGGATCAACTCGAAATGCACAAATAACATTTACTTCGATTGGAAAGTACCACTAAACCTGCAATATGCCAAATGGGACGGAACTCATAAAAGGGACTTTACCAAAACATGTATATTATAAATATTCTATTATTGTGGGGCGGGGCCTTTAAATCGACAAATATTGAAAATGTTCTGTAAAGTTTTTCGACTTGAAAAATAATGAAAGTGAGCCTGGACATATATAGCCCTCATATATGGATCCAGTCAAAACATAAAATTATACCGAAAATTTTCTTAAAACCTTTTGTTCGCCCACCCGAAAACGTGGAATGGTAGATTACAGACACGGGCGGGTCATCTATACAAGGGTTATGTCAAAGCATAGGTCCATATCGAACACTTTGTACATATATGGTCTCACTCTCAATGAACCCGGAATGTCGAGTTCGTTCGGAAAATACGACTAAAATTCTCAAAATAGGTAAAAAAATAGGCTTTTGTATGCGACCTTTGTTATAACTTGGGTCTATATCAGTTACATACTGCAATTTTTGTGTAATCCACCAATAACTCGGAATTCAAAAATCTTCTAAATTCCCAATATATGGGGTCTAAATGAAATTATGGATTTATATTGACTATTTTTTATGTAGAAGAACAACCCAGAATACCAAATTACTTCCTTCAACTGGAAAATGCGACAAAAAATATCGAAAAGGGGATCGGTATATACCATTTTCACACTGTTTTTGTGATATTTGAATTAAGTTCACAGAAATCGACTCAGAAAGTGATTCTATGCATATTCTCAAAAGGAACCATGTGTCTATCTCGTTTCCTTTTGCCTGTTACAAACATATGCACAAAGACATAATACCCTGTACCACAGTGTGGTGAAGGGTATAAAAACCCAGCCTTATCTGTCAATTTTGGACCAAGAGTGATCCTCACCCAAAATTTAAAGATTCTAGCTTTAGCGCCGATTTAAGGTAAATGGTGCGCCAAAGTCCTTAAATATCTTTTCAAATCGGTTCAGATTTAGATGTAGCTCCCATATATATTTTTGTCCGATTTAAGATAAATGGTGCACCAAAGTTCAATTTCATGTAAATGTTCTTTCGAAAAGTCTGTTAGGTGACTTTGTAGAATAAACCCAAAGTGGTGGAGGGTATCGTATAGTCGGCCCAGTCCGACTTTACTAGTTTCCTTACTGGTTTTTTAGTATAGATTCACAAAAATATGAAATTTTGACTTTGACGTCATGTGATTTGTAAATCGAGACCACAATGTTATAAAATTTTGCTGGTATAAAGCTCAAAGTCTTCAGATTTGAAATATATAAAGTTTTAGAGACTCAACCTAAAATTGACACTTTGCCAAAAAATCGGATTCCTGGCCTATAGTGCAGAGGTGCGAAAACCACACCTCAAGTGCTTAACCGATAAAGTGCAACAATTTAAATCAATTCTCAATTTTTATTACGGAGGTTGTTAAAATCATCATACCAATTGATAAAGTTTGTGCAAAAACTTTGATATTTGACATAAACGAATAGCCGTAGACACGTCAAATAAAAATAACTTCTAGCAAACGACTTATTAGAGCTGATAAACCGCATATTCGACAAACTTTTTGAATTTATAGATAAAAAAGTAAAAACATCGAACGAGCCGAAATTTTTATTCCCTTCAATGTGGGAGCTATGCCATGATAAATTGCTGCCAAAAAAAAAAAAAAACAAAATAAGACATCCAGATTGGAAAATTGAACCAGCCAAAATATGACCCATATTTATAACTCTTGATAGAAAGATTTGGGATCCAAAATACCGAATGTTAATAAGTATATATAAGAGTTATATGTCCCAATTTTCAATACCAATCAGCCTTTAGGAAGCAGTTTGTGTTCAAATTGCGAATGAGACAACCGGACATGGTTAAATTGACATAGAATTTAATTCTGATCAAATATTTCAGGGCAAACTGACTGATTTTCTTTTCTACCATTCATTTCGCTATTGAATGAGCTTTAGATGGATTTTACTGTAATGTCATTTAATTTTTTTTATCTAAAATATCCTCACAAAAAATATCATTCATCTATTAAAACATGTGCAAATAAAGAGCTGTTAGACAATTTGAAAAATTACATACTGCAATTTTTGTGTAATCCACCAATAACTCGGAATTCAAAAATCTTCTAAATTCCCAATATATGGGGTCTAAATGAAATTATGGATTTATATTGACTATTTTTTATGTAGAAGAACAACCCAGAATACCAAATTACTTCCTTCAACTGGAAAATGCGACAAAAAATATCGAAAAGGGGATCGGTATATACCATTTTCACACTGTTTTTGTGATATTTGAATTAAGTTCACAGAAATCGACTCAGAAAGTGATTCTATGCATATTCTCAAAAGGAACCATGTGTCTATCTCGTTTCCTTTTGCCTGTTACAAACATATGCACAAAGACATAATACCCTGTACCACAGTGTGGTGAAGGGTATAAAAACCCAGCCTTATCTGTCAATTTTGGACCAAGAGTGATCCTCACCCAAAATTTAAAGATTCTAGCTTTAGCGCCGATTTAAGGTAAATGGTGCGCCAAAGTCCTTAAATATCTTTTCAAATCGGTTCAGATTTAGATGTAGCTCCCATATATATTTTTGTCCGATTTAAGATAAATGGTGCACCAAAGTTCAATTTCATGTAAATGTTCTTTCGAAAAGTCTGTT